CATGCTTCATTTTATTGCAAAAAATAAACCTGTAGGCATGAACCATGTCAATTAACATCTATAAAGCAATAAGAAGATGGTGTGAGATCTTTGTATCCATATTTTCATAAAAGCAATTAAAAATATAGTGTATCCAACAAATTTAGCATTGAATATAAAAAACTATTTGAAGTTACTTATGCTAAAAAACAAACTACGGGATACAAAAAACAATGTGCCTCAATTTATAGCTATTTTACTAAGGAATTCATCATAGTACTCTTTCCATTTGTTCTTTATCTCTATGTCGTGAGCAAAAACTTTTTTTGTTTGTTATGCAAACATTAAACCCTAGCATCCCATCTCTTATCAATATCTTTCTTTACTTTCTACTTTTTTCTCTAAGCTGCTTCCCTCACCTTTGTTTCAACTCTTGACGTAGTATCAGAGCAATGTTTAATTAAGGTTTGATTATTGTCTAACATCTATAGTTTTATATAGTAAAAGCTGAGTTAAAAACTAATGATGTCAGCAAATCCTATTATCACAACAACTAAAACAATTTAATTAACTCCTAAATCACGGCAATTTCAAATAAATAACCCTATACATCACGGCTGATTGGGAGCCAAAGGAGAAATAATCTCTCATTTTTAAAGTGATATAACTTTTATATTTATAATCCAATTTTTACAAAAAAATATATTAAAATTCATAACTTTTTATTATCTTTCACATGACACCAGTATCATATACTTCGTATAAAAATATTAAAAAAATATTACTCTCTACGTCCCGTAGAAAGGCCCTTACACAATTTACGATATTTTACTGACCATAAAGTTAATTGATCCATTTCCGTGATTGGATTCTTTTTAATAAATAAAATTTACATATTTAAAGACTACATCAAACGTTTTATAAAGCCGCAAAAGAAAAACTCAAATTTGATAAAAGTTGGATATATAGAAAAATAGATTAAGAAGACTTTAAGTTGACCGGAGAATAGTGTACAAGAGCTTTGGAATGCGATAAATGTAGTATTTTAAGGATGTTTTCTTTTGGACTAAAATTTGCTGGTCTTGTCTGATCTGGTCTGATTTGGTCTGATCTGGTCTGATTTGGTCTAATCTGGTCTGGTCAATGTCTGGTCTCTGTGTATTTTATAACTACGGAAGTGTGGTTTGGTCTGATCTGGTTTGGTCCGGTCTGGGACTGAAAACATTCCAAAATAAAACACCCTAAATAGAAAAACCGACTTAAAAATTCCATTGATTTATAAAAATTCTATTAACACTACAAATTAAACATTTAATTCATATAAGTTGACTTGGTTTATCATTGATTTTCACTACATGTATCACCACTGCTCATTTGGAGAAAGAGAAGGAGAAAAAAACTTCTTTAAATATATTATAACTTATTTATTTGTACTCCAATTTTTATAAAAAACAAATCAAAATTTATAATTTTTTATGATTTTTCATATGACACAATATTGCATATATATAAAAAACATTATTCTATAGAATAGTTTTGGGTTAAAAATCAACGAGGTGTTAGTCTCTTATTGGTTAAAAAATCTTTTTTTAATGTATTATAACTTATTTATTTGTACTCCATTTTTTTTATGAAAAACACATCAAAATTTATAATTTTTTATGATCTTTAATTTCACACAAATATTGCATATACACAACTAAAAACATTATTGTAAAGAATAGATTTGGGTTGAAAATCAATGAGGTGTTAGTCTCTTATATATTTGTTTAATAAAATACTTATTATCACTACTACTAAACCATTTAATTAATCCAAGTTGACTCTGAATCTGTGGTATTCACTTGGTGCATAAGTGCTATTTATATTAGTCACCCCAACTCATTTGGAAAAGTGAAGGAAAAATCTCTATTAAAGTGTTATAACTTTTTTATTTGTACTTCAATCTTACGAAAGTTATATCAAAATTCATAAATTCTTATGATCTTTCACATGTCATTAATATTGCGTGTATAAAAATAAAATATTATTTTATATAATAAAATCGAGTTATAAATCAGTAATGCAACGATTTCTTACGGAGTATTAGTGAATAATTCTATTATCGCTACTACTATAACATTTAATTAATTCAAGTTCATTCGGTGCTTCAACACTATTTAGTTTAAAAGTTACTTTAAATATAATATTTCAGAAAATTAGTCAAATCAACGGTTTAACTAAAATTTCATCAAAATATAATTTAGATCGAAAGTTTGCAAATATAGATAAAAATTGTGAGTTTCTCTCTCTAGAATATGCTGTCGTCTAGGGATACCCGCTGCCGACGGCTTGCCGTTTGGGGTGTGGCTTTCGATTTTCGGGCTTCTTTGTGGCGTCTCGGTCTCGTTTTCCTTCTGCTTCAAGGATCATGTGCTGATCTTTGGCATTTGGAAGTCTTCGGCAGTCTCGAGGCGTCGACTTTGGCATGGAAGAAGACGATTCGAGTCGTTGCTGCTTTCCGTTGAACACAAGGCAAAAAGCTCGGGCAATATTTAAGGCTGCAAAGGTGTGAAGGAAGGTTTTGTGGACAAATATAAACAGATGGCGAGCGGAACGGAGGAAGAGGATTGAGTTGGACCTGGATGGGGGAGAAGCAGTGGAGAGTCCGGTGGAGGTGCAAAACTCGGGATTTCCGGTAGTGGGGGGGGGGGGTGCTGCTAACAGATATGAAGGTTAAATTTTCAGCCCTCAAGGAACACATGTTGTCATTATGGCGGCCAAAAAAAGGTATGTCATTCAAAGAATTGGGCGAAAAGAGGTATCTTTTTACTGTTAATCATCGCTTTGATATGAATCGTGTTCTTAAGGGTGGCCCGTGGTAATTCGAGTGTAATCTGTTATTGCTGAAAGAGGTAAAACCTGATGATATTCCACATAAGATTGTGCTAAGTGAGGTTGAATTTTGGGTCCAAATTCATAATGTTCCTATAGTCTGGTGACTTTAGGTACTGCAAGAAGGGTGTGTAATTTAATTGGAAAATTTGTTAATTATGATAATAATCAGAAAAGGGAGAAACTTTAGCCTTATATGAGGATCAGAGTGTAATGTGATAAGCCTATGAAAAAGAGTACTAATAATCTGAAAAAAGAAGGATTTTTTTTTTGGTTGGATTTTAAGTATGAGAAATTGTCCAATTTTTGTTTTATATGTGGGTTAATAGGGCATTCAGATAAATTTTGCCCTTTAAATTATGAAGAAGATCTTGTTCTGGAAAACCGTTTTAGGGTTTAGCTCAGAGCATGGATTGGGGTGAAGGCTAGCCCTACGTGAGGGAGCAGGTAGTTGATGGAGGGTTCATCGAGCTCTGGCAGAGACCGCAAATATATGGGGGAATTCAAGTCTGATGATAGGCAGGATGGAAGGGAGAAAAAGTATATTTCAAGTATTACCAAAGGTGTGGAATCAAAAGAAGATTCTTTAGGGGAACAAAAGATAAGAAGGATATGGGAAGCCCTAGAGGAAGGAAAGAATGGTGAGGATAACATGGCACTGGATGGGACAAAAAACGGGGCGGGGCGGACTTTGGCCTGTAAGTCTGTCACAACAGCTTCTGGTTGATCAGACACGGAGGATACGGGTGTTCGTGTGGCATGGCAGTTCCAGGAAGAATTTTAAATTTATCTGCTTTATTTTTTGTTCAGTGACAATTACTTTTGTGTTCTGTTTAGTTTGGTTTTTGCTATTTTTGTTTGTAAGACGATGGTTTTGGATGGAGGCGATGAGAGGATTACGATAACCGTCTTTGGCTCATTTGTGCCCACTAATGGATCAACAAGTTATGTTGCTTCTATGAAGATGATTAATTCTGATTTTGGTTCGCGGGACGGCGGTTGTTAGGAATCTTTTTGTTGAATTATCTACTATCTGAATGATGTGTTATCAATTTAAACCTACTTCCGTAAAAAAAACTAAAATTTCATCAATTTCAATAAATTCAACCTATTGAACCGATTTTAATTGTATAACGCACTTACCATACCGAAAAGTACCGTAAAATACCAAAATATTGGCATGCTGTCATTTTCAGTACGGTATCATACCGTACCGATCTATTTTGGTACAGTAAAGGTAAATGTTTTCAAATACCGTGGTATACCGGTATAATACCTACCGACTCCCTACTCAACAATTACTTTTAATTGTAATATATTGTAAAAATCCATTACAATATTGAAGCCCAAAATTAATACTTAAGTTGGTTGCAAATACAAAAATACAAAAATAAAGGCCCAATTTCTCAAACGCACTATAACCTTCTACGCTTCTGCTACGCTAACATTAATGACTAATGACTAATGTACAAATGTCAGGAAACAAGTCCATCTTGTTCCAAGAGCTTGCAAGTCATGATGGCTGGGCCGCTAAGTAGCTGACAGTGAAGAGAGATACACTTATGTGACAAGTGTATCTACATAAGGATTCCGCGAGTCGTGACACACAACTTTGTCCGAAAGTCTTATTCACTTTTTAAAAAACTATAAAAATGACTAAATACACAATATCATATTAGGAATAAATGATTTTATATCCGTGTTTTTTGAATCGTTTTATTTATTTTTGTTATAGATTACTATTGATCTAATTATATGTATATTGTTGAAGTTATTTTAGGAGAATGAGTTACTTTTTAATATGTAGCATGTTGAACTGCTTAAATATACTAATAATAATTATTGTTCAATATTGAATTGACATCAATAGATTATTAATTGTATTTCATAACATTTTAATAATAGATTTAATATATCGCTAGTAATAACGATTTAGTATATTTCGTTAGTTTATAATAATTTTTTGTATTGCGAGACATGCTCGGTAATTTATCGATACCGTACCGTTCCGAACCGAAATTTCGGTATCCCAAAATGCAATATACCGAAACTTTGGTAAAGTAAATATATGCTAATTTTGGTACGGTAAAAGTATGAGAAAAAATATAAGGTATACGGTACCGAACCACACTGAATCCACCAAATTAAATTTGGCCCTAAGTGTTTCATCCGGTCCAATTCAGCCGATCTACCATCTATCAGCCAGAGGTCGTACGCTAGATTGCTCTCTCCGTTTCCATCTCCGCTTCCCCTTGTCGGACGCAGGATACACCACGCCGTTCGTCTAATGTACTGAGGTTAGTCGATTATTACTGACTGTCTTCTTATTTTATCTCATCTTGTTTTGTTTATTTTTTCTTGGTTGTTTCTAAAATAGATTCTTCATATGGCATTTTCACTAGACATAAGTGGTTATGTACTTATGTGACAATTTGAGGTTATGTGTTGTTATCTTTTTAGGTTTACTATGTGATTATAAATTATTTATGTGACTTTTTTTGCATAGATGAAAAACCCACAAGATGAAGATGAATTTCTTACTGCTTGTTTGTTAGTGTATATTGAAAAACCAACTGCCAAAAAAGTTAGTGTAGTATCTATTATTGACGATTTTTCGTGATATGCAAGCAGCAAGGAAGGCATTTGAGTTTTAATTGCCGCGCAGTTCAATTTTGTAATTTTGATTATTATAAATGAATATTGATATATCATTTATTTGCTATGATATTTTTTATAATTTATATTTTAATACTTGTATTGTATTCCGCCCCCTTGTACTAAAGTATGGCTCCGCACCTGTCACCTAGTAAAAATCGCCAGAGTACTCGGCGATTTGCTCGGAAAATGGAACAATACGGAGTAGCTAGTACTCGGTGATTACTCACCGATTAGATACCATAGCCATTACGCCTCTAGGTTAGTTGTTAGGTCATAATTATTAGTTCAACCTTGTATTTTAAAAAGTCAATTAATTGGCCCTTTAGCTTTGTTTTTTTCCACAACTTTCACATGCATATTTCATTTGACTAGTCTATTTAGAAATTATCTAACATATCATCTCTTAAAGGTCAAAACGCTACACATTTGTCATTATAAGTTATGATTTGTGTCCATAATCCCTCTATTTGTGCTACTGTCAAAGACGTTTGTTCTGTGATTATCAATGGTAGAGGCGAGCTATAGTTTTACCTCTAATGCAAAGGAAAAGTTTCTTTACCTTTAAAACAGATATCCTAGAGAATCTTTGTTAGACTTGTCAGTTATATAGATTCAAATGACATTAATATTGGCATAGGGAGGAAGGTTCTAGAGTAATCAAACCTGAAGGGATAACTAACTGATATTAAAATACAAGGTTGAATTAGTAGTCGTGACCTGAATTCAAGGGGTCACAATAATTTTCCCATTTATAAATATTCAAGATGTGTTTACTTAGACTGTAATTTGCTGGTCTGGCCTCAGGCCTGATCTGGTCTGGTCTGAACTGTTCTGTTAATGTTTGGTCTCTTTGTATTTTTATAACTATCCAAGTCTGGTCTGGTCGGGGACATATTACAGTCCAATTAAAAACATCCTCAATCTTCAATTGTTATTAGAGCAACTTACCAGAAATTGATTAACTTTGATCTAGTTTATGTGAATTATTGATCTCTGTGTTTATTGATCTCAAGCTTATTATGGGTTTATGTTCACTCTCTGTTTGCTGCTTAATAGATTACTTATTTTAATGATAGCTTATAATTGGTTGGTGATAGTATTCATAAAGACTTTCAAGTTATTTGTGCTATTTATGACTGATTGTGCAGTTGTTCTGTTTAGTTGATTGCTCTTGCTCTGATGGAGGAACCAAAGCAGAAGTCAACTAAGCGGGCTGACTCTGAAAAGGAGGTGGAGGGGCCTAGACGGAAAAGCCACCGTGACAGGGATGGCCACTCTGACCGTGATAAAGAGAAGAGCGGAGAGAGACATAGAGATAGAGACAGGGTACACTACCATGATAAGAAGGATCACCTTGATAAGGAGAAGGGCGTTGAGGATACGTACAAGGAAAGAGACAGGGAAAGAGAGAAGGAGAAGCACAGAGATAAGCATAAAGATAAAGAGCGGGAAAGAAGTAGCAGGGACAAGGCCAGTAAAGACAGAGAAAAGGATAAATCGGACAGAGAGAGTGCCAGGGAAAAGCGTAACAAAGATAGGGATCGTGAAAGAGAGAGGGACCGCAAAAAAGAGAAAGAGAAGGTGAGGGATCCTGAAGGAGAGAAAGAAAAGGAACGGGATCAGGAGAGAGAAAAAGAAAATGAGAAGGTTCCTGAAAGAGAAAGGCAGAGAGAGAAAGAAAAGGATAAGAATAGGGAAAAAGAAAGAGAAAGGGAGAAGCGAGAGAAGGATCAAAGGGACAAGGATAGGGAAGACAGGGAGAGGAACAGAGAGAAGAAGGTTCGTGAAAAAGAGAAACGCCATGATTATGTCACTGATGATGATGATAATGATGTCGATGCAAGAGAACATGAAAGAAAAAGGAGGAGAAGGCATGATCAGAGGAGCAGGGATCATGAACGAAGTAAGACATCTAGTAAGGTTGTTGATGATAGCGGAAATGGTAGCCCACCTAAAAAAAGTGACAACGAATCATTGGAAAAGAAACAGAAGAATCTAGAAGAAGAGCAAGCTGAGGAACAAATGAAACTTGAAGATGAGATGGAGAAGCGAAGAAGGAGAGTTCAGGAATGGCAGGAGTTGAGAAGAGTAAAGGAGCAGTCAGAGAGAGAAAAGCTTGGAGTCGCAGCAATGAGTGATGAGCCCAAGTCAGGGAAGACTTGGACATTGGAAGGGGAATCTGATGATGAAGATGCAGTATTGGAGGATAAACAACGCATTGATATGGATGTAGACGAACCTGCTAAGCCCTTGGATGAAAATGGTTCTGTCCTAGTAAGCTCTAATGCCTTGTCTGATTTAGGAGTTTCACAGAATGCTGGCAATGGTGCTCCTATGGATGATGAAGAAATTGACCCATTAGATGCATACATGAATGCTATGGTGTTGCCTGAAGTTGAAAAGCTGAACGATGTTGAGACCACAGTTGAATATACAAAATCTGGTTTGGAAGATGGAAATGTTATAAGGAAGAAAGAGCAACCTAGGAAAGGCATCCAAAAAGCTATGGGAAGAATCATGCCTGGTGAAGACTCTGATTCAGATTATGATGAACTTAGGAATGATGATCCTATTGATGATGAAGATGATGAAGAGTTTATGAAACGGGTGAAGAAGACCAAGGCTGAGAAACTATCTATAGTTGACCACTCAAAAATTGAATATCCTTCTTTTCGGAAGAACTTTTATATTGAGGTGAGGGAAATTTCAAGAATGACTTCTGAAGAGGTGGCTTCTTACAGAAAGCAATTGGAACTGAAGATCCATGGAAAAGATGTGCCAAAGCCAGTTAAAACGTGGCACCAAACTGGATTATCCACTAAGATTTTGGATACAATAAAGAAACTTAATTATGAAAAGCCAATGTCAATCCAGGCTCAGTCTTTGCCAATAATTATGAGCGGCCGAGATTGTATTGGCATCGCAAAGACGGGTTCTGGGAAAACATTAGCTTTTGTGTTGCCAATGTTGAGGCATATTAAGGATCAGCCTCCACTTGCGCCTGGAGATGGACCAATTGGGCTTGTAATGGCCCCTACAAGAGAGCTTGTGCAGCAAATACATAGTGATATAAGAAAGTTTGCTAAGGTTATGGGCCTTAGCTGTGTTCCTGTGTATGGAGGCTCAGGTGTTGCTCAGCAAATTAGTGAGTTGAAACGAGGAGCAGAGATTGTTGTTTGCACTCCAGGTAGGATGATTGACATACTTTGTACCAGTAGTGGGAAAATTACCAATCTGCGAAGAGTCACTTATTTGGTCATGGATGAAGCTGACCGAATGTTTGATATGGGATTTGAACCTCAGATCACAAGAATTGTTCAAAATACACGTCCTGACCGCCAAACTGTATTGTTTTCTGCAACTTTTCCTCGTCAGGTTGAGGCGTTGGCACGCAAAGTACTCAACAAGCCTATTGAAATTCAGGTAGGTGGAAGGAGTGTTGTAAACAAAGATATTGCCCAATTAGTTGAGGTGAGGCCAGAGAGTGAAAGGTTCCTTAGACTGCTGGAAATACTTGGAGAATGGTCTGAGAAAGGAAAAATTTTGGTATTCGTCCATTCTCAGGAGAAATGTGATGCTTTATTTAAGGACTTGCTAAAGCATGGTTATCCTTGCCTTTCACTTCATGGGGCAAAAGATCAGACTGATCGTGAGTCCACTATTGCAGATTTTAAAAGTAATGTATGTAACCTATTGATTGCTACTAGTATTGCTGCTAGAGGTTTAGATGTAAAGGATCTTGAGCTGGTGATCAACTTTGATGCTCCGAACCATTATGAAGACTATGTTCACCGTGTTGGACGTACTGGGAGAGCTGGTAATAAAGGCTGTGCTATCACATTTATATCTGAAGAGGATGCAAGATATGCACCTGATCTTGTAAAAGCTTTAGAACTCTCTGAGCAAGTTGTTCCTGATGACCTGAAAGTGCTTGCTGATCGTTTCATGGCAAAGGTTAATCAGGGACTTGAACAGGCTCATGGTACTGGTTATGGAGGCAGCGGCTTCAAATTTAATGAAGAAGAAGATGAAGTGAGGAAAGCCGCAAAGAAAGCTCAGGCAAAAGAGTATGGCTTTGAGGAAGACAAATCAGATTCAGAGGATGAAGACGAAGGAATCCGAAAAGCAGGTGGTGATGTCTCTCAGCAGGTGGCTGTGGCTGCTGCTCTTGCTGCGGCTTCAAAAGCAGCAAGTGTGTCTCAACTTGCAGGTTCTGTCCCAATTTCTCAGATGCAGCCTCATAGTGGATTACCCGGTTCCCTTTCCAATATTATTCAAGGTAATGGACTCCCAATTGCCCCTAATGATATATCAGCCACAACAGCAGCATTTCTTGCTGCGAAGAATTTGCAGCAGAACTTGGCTAAGCTTCAGAATGAGGTCATGCCTGAGCATTATGAAGCCGAGTTGGAAATTAATGATTTTCCTCAAAATGCTCGTTGGAAAGTGACACACAAAGAGACCCTAGGTCCTATTTCAGAATGGACTGGAGCTGCCATCACTACCAGGGGCTATTATATTCCACCTGGGAAGGTACCTGGACCAGGGGATAGGAAATTGTACTTGTTCATTGAGGGCCCTACAGAGCAATCTGTCAAGAGGGCAAAAACTGAGTTGAAACGTGTTTTAGAGGACATAACTATGCAAGTAACATCACTTCCAGGCTCAGCTCAGCCAGGGAGATACTCAGTTGTGTAAGGTAATTCCCAGTAAATTGACAAAATATTTAGTAAGAGGTTCTAAACATATATTGCAACCTATTGAAGTTTATTTTATCTTACGGAATTTGGTATTCCATTTAATATAGTGGTATTAGTGTTGTTTTTTGCACTTTTTCTCTAAAAATTAAATTGTCTCCTTATTTAATGATCAAACGTGATATACTTCAATTTGTTAGTTTGCTATTCTTTTGTTCCTTTTTATATCCAAAAACTGAATTATTGAACTGCTGTTTCTATTGTGATACAGTTGTTTATCTGTTTAGGTTCTTTTTGACTATTGGTTTATTTCCCAATTTAGTCATTTTGTAAATATCCTGTAAATATGTAAGAGGTAGTTAAGAAATAGAACTTCATTTATGCTATATGATCTGGGATGCTGTGGATCTATAAAGTAGTAAAAATACATATATGCTACAAAGTGATTTTGTAAAATTAAACTTTTCAAGTAATGGTTTCTTTTTTAGTGACACTATCAATCAAATGTAGAATGCTGGGCTGGTTATCTATTGTTGTTCCTTTGTAAGCTTTGATCTTTCCTAAGAAATGCATTACAAGATTGTCTTTTTTGAGAAGAGCCCCTGTGTTAATTTGGGATTGCGTTGATTTCAGTTGACAGGGTGAGCTATAAGAAGATGCGGTGTAGGAATGAAACCTTTATGGTAAGCCTTCTATCTGATAAAACTTTTAAATTTGTTGGATTGTGAATATAGTTCAATAACTTGTATTTACTTGTGAGTTCAATTTTGAGAATTGTATTCACCTTTAATTTTGTAACTGTCCACAACTGCTGTATTGCTGCTCTCTTAAATGCGGCACATAAGCTTGATTATGGATCACACCGTGTTTGTCAAATACACGGTAGTAGTACACAAGTCCACTCACTATATGGTTTATCTAGTTTTTTCACCCAAACCTTAAATCCAGCAATGAAGTTTGAATAGAGAAGATATTAAGATCCTGACTCAGCCATCGATCTTTACCCTTGCTAAGTTGCTAGTATACATATATCGGTTTGATGAGTTTTTCTTTCCAATTTCAAGTCCTCTAATTGTTGTGGTAGTTAAATTTTGGTTCATGCCTTAGAATGTTTCTCCTTCTAGTCCTCCAGATGTGGCGATAAACAGGATTTTGTTACATGTCCTCCCATTTTTGTAATCATCTAACTATTGTGCTTTCAGTTACTTCGTCTCCAATTGCAGGCTTGATGTTCTTGATATTCACACTATCCATTTTGTGTAACCCTGCATTTATGAAATACTACATTTATTTTTAATTCCAGTTTTTTGTAATGTAATATTTTAATGAATACATCAATTTATCAATTGCAACAATTTAAACATTGTACTATTTATATTATTCTCATGTTATCAAAATTGATGTAGTAGTTTTTTTTAGAGAAAACAGTGGCATTTTTATATTAAATCAAAGAGTCATTCGCCAAAAGATTGACAATACAATAAGGAGCTGAATTATAAATATGTTACCATCCGCATTGGAAAGTGCAGCTCTAGCTAATGTATGAATTACTCGATTCACGGACCATTTATAAAGAATCACTGACATATGAGCCATTGAGCCTCGTCGGGAAGCAAATGTCTAATATTATCAATATTGAGATCAAAGCATGATGTTCCAGGATCATTTGCTTGTCTTGAGGTGATCTATAATGCATCACTTGTTATTTTGTTAACAATGTTATATTATGTAAAAAATGTCGAATGTCTCTAAAATTTTCTAAAATTTGATTAGAATTTTACTTATTGCCCATAAGTAAAATTCTTGCAATTAAAGAAGAATGGATTATGTTTTAATGAATAAAATAGAAATTCTAAATGAATAATATGTACATATCTAAAAATTACTTGAAAAAATCTAGCAAATGACTTGTGACAACTATTTAATTGCAAGAGGATAGTAAATATATGACGAGATAAAAAAAATCACTTATTTACAAAAATGCGGTGCAACAAATATAGGTAAAAATTGGTGCGAAGGATTTCACATGCTAAACCTTCTTTTTATTTAATAAAGAGAAGACTATGTATTTATATGATTCAGTGAATATGAATGGTTGAATGCTCTCAAATATGTTGAAGTGTTCAGTACATTTTTTATAACCCAAATGATGCTTATAGCCTATACTAGTGATGTTTTGTATTTGATTTGTTTAAGTCTAGTTTGGTCTAATAAATGCTTGGTGTTGTGTATATTTTGTTAATGTCTGATCTGGTCTGTTTAATTTTGTTCTAGTCCGGTTTGAGATTTGAAATAAATTCAAGTAATAAGAACTTCTTAAATATGGATTGAGGTTCAGATTCACTACGATTGATAAAGTGTTTGGGTCACACCCTAATTTACTCCTCCATACCTTTCCAAGTGTGGGGCGCCCGGAGGTGATCACACCTTTTAGAGTCGAGGAAAGCATTAATCACAATTGAATAGGGTGAAGGAGTACCCCTTAGATGGTGGAAGTTCCAACATTGTATCATGCATATGCAGTCTCATGAGATTGGGGTAAAATATGTAATAAAGACACAGAGCCAGAGCTGTCCAAATTAAAGTGCTACTTTTGTGTTCTGTCATATGTAAGTATTTCCCTTCCTGGACTGCATGAGTTGTCTGATTAAGACTGATAACTGTGTTTTTTAGATAGCATATGGGCTGGGGACACAGAATTTGTAATAGTATAAGATAAGGTCAAAGGTACGTTAATCAATCTAAGGGCTAATATTATTTTAGCTTTTCTCAACCATTGCTTGTCCTTATCCTTAGTTTTATGTTATTGTCTTACGTGGCCAAGTTTCCAAGCATTTCCAAGTTCCAACTTGTTAATAATACAATTGGCATAGTCACAATCGTGGGCTCAAAAAATCCCAGGGTGGGACTTTGAATCAAGAACTGATCCAACTGTTATGACCTGATTGAGTTAAGTTTCAACATTAATTAGTTATTTAATAATGATTCTGTTCTTACTTATTATTAAAGGGTCGTTTCTCGATCCTATAAAAATATGTGATCGTCAAAAGCAAGAAGGCAACCAGTCACGCTGAGGACCTCAAGGAAATATTCATCAAAGTATAGAAGTTCAACCTTCGGCTGAACCCGAAGAAGTGCATCTACGACGTGCAAGGGACAAATTATTGGGGTTCAGCCGAAAGGGGATTGAAGCCAACCCTGAAAAGATACAAGCCATCATCAACATGGAGCCCCTCGAAATGTGAGGAGGCGAATTTCCCAGACTTACCGTTGGGTCGAATCAGAGTGATTCCCTAAGTTTGGTACCCTCGCCCCTCGGCCTTGGGGCCGAAAAGGTGTTCCTTGTGGGGGAATGGGCTACTCATACTTGGGATGTTGTATCTGGGCCGCTTGTGCCTTTGGGACCATTCGTTGTAGCAGGAGTATGTGGGCCGGGGCCCCCCACACTATATACTCCATCAATATGTTAAGGAACCGTTATATAATAGTTAAGTTTTTATCTATTAGTTGAATATTCTAATATTATTTATATATTAAATTTCATTAATTTACTTTAGTTAATAGAGTTCATAAATTTGATAAATATTCAACTGATTCCTCTCGTAGTGAATGAATTTTTTATTTTATATTTACTAAAATTTATAATTTGTTATGTACTTATGTTTAAAACTTAACTTTTGAAGTTTGAAATGATGGTGACCTTGAATTATTTGTATGTCTTATAAGTTGGATGTCTTTACATGACACAAATTTATCGGTGATTTGTAGAAGTTTTTTTAAAAAATTGAACCTAAAAATGAGTAGAATCGAACCATTAAAGTTTGGTGCGGTTTCATATTAGTTTTAATTATAAAACATTGAGATTTTTTTAAATGATTCCACATAGTTTTCCTGAGAATCGAACCTGTCTCAGACCTACCAAGCAAATGAGCAATAACAAGCATAGAAAATAAGTTGAAATATAAGGAGTTCTGACTTCTGATTTCTGAACATCCCGGCAAGGGGTACAAGATGAAAATAAGCTATCCAAGACTCTTTGAAGAATCTAAGCTATCCAAGACTTTTTGTAAAGATAGTCCGTAAAGAATAAAAATAACAAAGAGAATATTGAGGAGCCATGAAACTCAACCGAAAAAACATATCAACAGTAATAAAAAGAAATAAACTGCTTTATTAAATAAGACTTATAAGAGATTAAGATTGTGAGAATCAACTAATAACAAAAAAGAAATGCAAAAAATGATGGCAATATAACGAGGAAAAAGTTTCTACGAATTGTAACACGGGAAGAAAAAGTGTTAAAACATTCTCAATTTCCTTATGGTTGCTCCATATTTTTGTGAGTTTACTACTCTCGGTTGGAGCTTTAATCAGTTATTTTATTTCTTATAATTTTAATTTTGCGTTATGTTTCTTTGCATTGCTCTGCTTTTTGTTGATGTGTTTAACTTTAGGTCTATAATAACGATTGACAATTCTACTAACTATCATGTTGTTATAAGGATCTATATGACCACTGATTGATATGTCACACACGTTTGATAACAACTTGCATTCTTCTTTCAGGGGTGATAGTGAAAATTGTTTACATATAATTGTTGTGAATGTTGGTCTCTTTGAGTTTGATGTAACGATGTGAATCCTAATGATATTAATATAAACGGTTGTTCATTAAAAAAAAGTCTACAACCTTCCGTAAAGCAATAATAGACAAAATCCTATACAAATTTATACTTTGGTAGCTCCTATTTTGTGCTTATCACTCTAATCAATCAATATTTTTACCAAACGCATAAGTCATGGTTTGAGGTGCTGAATTGTGTAAAAATCAAAATAAATAAGTCTTGAGTTATATTTTTGATTGAATTGGCAGAACTTACTATTACTATTACTATTACTATTACTATTACTATTACTATTACTATTACTATTACTATTACTATTACTATTACTATTACTATTACTATTACTATTACTATTACTATTACTATTACTATTACTATTACTATTACTATTACTATTACTATTACTATTACTATTACTATTACTATTACTATTACTATTACTATTACTATTACTATTACTATTACTATTACTATTACTATGACTATGACTATGACTATGACTATGACTATGACTATGACTATGACTATTACTATGACTATGACTATTATATTACTATTACTATTACTATTATATTACTATTACTATTACTATTACTATTACTATTACTATTACTATTACTATTACTATTACTATTACTATTACTATTACTATTACTATTACTATTACTATTACTATTACTATTACTATTACTATTACTATTACTATTACTATTACTATTACTATTACTATTACTATTACTATTACTATTACTATTACTATTACTATTACTATTACTATTACTATTACTATTACTATTATATTACTATTATATTACTATTATATTACTATTACTATTACTATTACTATTACTATTACTATTACTATTACTATTACTATTACTATTACTATTACTATTACTATTACTATTACTATTACTATTACTATTACTATTACTATTACTATTACTATTACTATTACTATTACTATTACTATTACTATTACTATTACTATTACTATTACTATTACTATTACTATTACTATTACTATTACTATTACTATTACTATTACTATTACTATTACTATTACTATTACTATTACTATTACTATTATTACCATTATTATCACTATTATCACTATTATTACTATTATTACCACTATTATCATCATCGTCATCGTCATCGTCGTCATCGTCGTCGTCGTCGTCGTCGTCGCCGCCGCCGCCGCCGTCGTCGTCGTCATCATGATTATTATTATTATTATTATTATTATTATTATTATTATTATTATTATTATTATTATTATTATTATTATTATTATTATTATTATTATTATTATTATTATTATTATTATTATTATTATTATTATTATTATTATTATTATTATTATTATTATTATTATTATTATTATTATTATTATTATTATTATTATTATTATTATTATTATTATTATTATTATTATTATTATTATTATTATTATTATTATTATTATTATTATTATTATTATTATTATTATTATTATTATTATTATTATTATTATTATTATTATTATTATTATTATTATTATTATTATTATTATTATTATTATTATTATTATTATTATTATTATTATTATTATTATTATTATTATTATTATTATTATTATTATTATTATTATTATTATTATTATTATTATTATTATTATTATTATTATTATTATTATTATTATTATTATTATTATTATTATTATTATTATTATTATTATTATTATTATTAATTTTTCTCTCTCTCTAGGGGGTCTGGGG